CATGACCCCTCCAGCGGCGATGGGAGAGATGGGGGGGGGGTCTGGAGCAGCTTCTCCCCCGCCTCCTTCCCATTGCCGGCGCCTTGATCTCATCCGGATCAGGGACGAAACACGCCCATCCTTCGCTACTCCTTGTCGGGTCACTGCTTCATTTCTCCAGGGAGAGAGAGAGGAGAGGAGTCAAAGGATAAGGTGAAGCTACGGTATATCCTGTTTTGCATTTATTCCCTTCACTGCAGTCCTTTTATGCTGGATTTCACTAATGCAAACCGAAAATGGGATTCACCACAGATTTACTGGAGAGGAGTCCACTTACATGCTAAAAGTCACTGAGATCCATGTGGGAATCTTTTTTCAGCTGGGCGCTGCATTCCATCTTCTGCAACGTTTCACGGACCGCATCCTAGTGGAGGGCGAGGCCAGAGGGAACAGTGTGTGGAGCAAAGGATAGGATTTTTGGCTTTGTACAGAAAGCCTGCCATCCTAACCCCCCTTATGTAGGAGATAGCCCCACTGAATTCACTCTACGTTCTATGTAGACAGGGCTAGGGTTTCACTGTGTAAGCTGCAAGCTACAACTGGTCCTAAACCAATGGATTCATGTTACAAGAAAAAAGATTCTGACTAAACATCAGAAAGAACTTTCTGACAGAGCAGTTCAAGAGTAGAATGGTCCTCCTCCTTAGCAGAGGATGGACTCTCCTTCCTTTGAGGTTTCTACACAGAGTTTGGATGGCCATCTGTCATGGATGCTTTAGCTGAGATTCCTGCATTGCAGGGGGTTGGACAAGATGATCCTCAGAGGTTATGCCCAAAACAGGTACAAGCAGTGGCGTAGCGTGGGGGGTGCAGGGGGGGCGGCCGCACCGGGCACAACATCTGGGGGTTAGGGTTAGGGGGCGCAAATCCACGGGTTAGGGGGCGCAAATTACTTGCCTTGCCCCGGGTGCTGACAACCCACGCTACGCCACTGTGAGCCAAGCTGTGCCCTTCTAAGGCATATGCTATATCATAGACCCAAAACCTTATGGTGAATAGGGAGCCTTTCCTGTCCCACCCCCTCCTGGATCCCACAACTCTGGGCAGGTGTGCCAGATTAGTCTCAATAACATTCCATTTCCAGGCTAAGGGCCTCAAAACCCAAAGCAACTTGTCTCTGAAAATGCCCTTCACTTTCAAAGGTGCATAAGGGTGCTCACATGCCACACCTCACCACAGCCTTTCCTGCATCTGCCTGCCAACCATGTGACCAACTTAACCATGAAACCAACTTAACCAAACCAACCTATTGGGTTGGGGCAACTGGCTAACATATTTTAACATGTTTTAAATGGTTGTAATTTTGGTCCCTCTGTTTTGTTTTTGTTGGGTTGGGTTTGGTTAAATGTTTAGTTGGTGTTGGTGGTTATTTAATTTGGGGTATAACTGTAAATGTCGTCTTCTTCTCCTCCTTCTTCTTCTCCTCTATTAATTTATTGGTTTATTTATAATCTGTATAAGATATTCTGTTTTTTAATGTTTGATGTTTTATTACATTTTTATATATGCTGTAAGCTACCCAGAGTGGCTGGAGAAACTTAGATAGGTTGGATTAATTTTTTAAAATAACAACAACAACAACAAAAACAGCAACAACAACAATAATTCAACCTAAACTCCAACCCCCTCTGAACCCAATACAGACTAGGTGAAAAAACCTGCTTACCCGTGGAGGGTTGCAAAACACTCCTACTCAGCTACAAAGTGACTGGCTATCTTCAGTGCTATTTTTCTAGAAAAAGAGGTGCTGGTCACCATGAACACCTCCTTTGTTCTCTTAGAATGGCAATGGCGCCCACCTGAGAGGTTCTGGCTGAAAATAAAGCACTTGTTATCCTGGTTATCCTATATTAAAAAAGAGGATGGATTGGGTAAGACAAATGGCCCAAAGAGGCAATTTAGGGGCCTGGTCAAAGCTTATAAAGCCAATGATCCCCGCCCCCAGACGATAGTCTCTCCATCCAGAAAAATGCTCCCAGGCACAGAGTTTCACAGCTGGCAGGAGTGGACTTAGATAATAACATACTATCTGTATGGCAGTGCCAGAAAACATGAGCTGATCCATAAGAACATGCATGGATTCATTGCACAGAGAAATCATGGTTTGGATGTGATGCCTATTCAAAGCTACTCGCAAGTATGGGGCAACACATTCAGGGGTGTATTATGCACTGACTTCTGAACTTTCATGACTAAACAGGATGTGGCCATAGACGTGTGCATACTCTAAGGAATGATTTGTAGTTTGCCTTGCAGTCTTTTTGGAAATCTCAACTTTGCACTCTCACAAATCTGGCAGTCAGCTCAGAGCCATCATGTCAAACTGATTCACTGCGCTAGCATCTTGATGAAACTTGCACACAGATTTGCCAGCTATTTTCCCTTGGTCTCAATCAGTCCTTATTGCCTAAGACTAAACATAAATATTTTTCTCAGATGCAATGCTTCAATGATTTAAGCAGTTATACCCTAATGAAATTATAACTCTTAACTCTAAAAGCCCTGCTATTTCGTTGCATTTAGTAGAAGTAATGGGATTTCAAAGCCAATAGCCTGTGTTTATCTGTTTGTCTTTTTTCAAACTGATTTTGATCTGATGTGATCAAAGCTGGTGTGTGGCTAATCTAACTGTTCTGCATGGACTGTAGCTGAAGTTAGTCATGATGAGCTGCTTTTAAAATTAATGGAATAAGCTAATCATGATTAATGGGATTCTAGATGGATTGGGCTAATTGTGCCCAGAAAGGTTATCCAAAGCAGGCTTTCAATTTTCAAATTATATGGATTTTAATTTGAATCCCATCTCCTTATTCTTTTGAAACCCACCTGGATAGATCTCTACATCACTTCATTGTGTTCCAAGGATTTGAGTTACTCAGCCATGAACTATAAATGTGTTCTGACTCATTATCTTTTTGTGCCACTGCAGGCATTGGTTATGGGAAAATATATTGCTGATGGGGGACTTTGCAAACATAGCCTTGTTTTCCTTTCTCTCTAAGCACCTTCTTGGACATTCTTACATTGGTAGGAGAGAATATTAAATGGCTTCACCACATGAGAAGAGTTGATTTAAGAGAGTTTTGCATTTGTCAATGGCTAGGAAAAAAATCATCGCTTTTGTAATTTACTTTGGGAATTACTGTCTAATGCTATGAATTTATTGATTGTAGTAATAGTACATCAACCCATTTTCTGTTCCCACTTAAATGCATTGGTCCTCAGCAACTAATTTATTTATTTTTGAAAGATGTGGCATCAACACCTGGCACCATGGCAAGGTCCCCTGGAATTGATAGGTGTCTTGGCACGTCTGTGCTCAGTGACAAACACAGAACACCCAATGTAGGTGTCACTGAGGGGAATTTAATGTGGCCACTTGGCACTACCCACAATTCTTGCCAGATAAGACCATGGCAATGGAGCTCATCATTTGAGAAGAGCCAAACATAATAATAAATAATAATAATAATAATAATAATAATAATAAAATAAAAATAAATTATTATTTGTACCCTCCCATCTGGCTGGGTTTCCCCAGCCACTCTGGGCAGCTTCCAACAAAGATTAAAAATACATTAAAATGTCACACATTAAAAACTTCCCTGAACAGGGCTGCCTTCAGATGTCTTCTAAATGTCAGGTAGTTGTTTATCTCTTTGACATCTGATGGGAGGGCGTTCCACAGGATGGGCACCACTACCGAGAAGGCCCTCTGCCTGGTTCCCTGTAGCTTTGCTTCTCGCAATGAGGGAACCGCCAGAAGGCCCTCGGTGCTGGACCTCAGCGTCTGTGCAGAACGATGGGGGTGGAGCCGCTCCCTCAGCTATACTGGGCCGAGGCCGTTTACGGCATATATTAATATGCCTTTCCTAATAATCATAGGATGCAAATTTTCTTCAGCACTAATGGAATGGAAACGTAATTCAATTAAAAGAGACTATTATTACTGGTGTAATTTTAATTTAAAATTCTTGGATTTCAGGGCAAAAAGCATGTTGCTTTTTAAGATAACCAGAACATACCTAAACTCATGTCCAAGAGAAGCATTAAACATGATATATTGAATTCCAATTAATTCTAAATGGTTGAACACATAAGATTCCTCACTTTAATGGAAACAGATGAATTTTAATATTAGTTGAATAAACAAGGAGTTGAGTGGTTCACGGGAAGGTTATAAATCTTTATGCAATAAATAAATCAGCTTCTGCTTCTTTATGTGACATCTCAAATCACAAATCTTCATCTGGAGCCATATTAGGATGTAACAGATTCTCATGTACACAGATGGTTATACATAGAATGGAATGCCTAGCCATTCCTATATTACGTTGGCGATATCTGTTCAGGATATCATTTCAAATTATATCATTTTTGAATTGTATACTAATTTTAACTCTTAGTAAGAGTAATTAGGTTTTGCATGATTAAGTACTAATTGGTAAAATGAGGTTTGTAGCATGGAATTTGAGTAAATAAAATGGGAAATGCTCCACTAAGAAAGGTAGCATGCAGAAATCAAAGGAGTTAGTGAATTTTAGGTGGGTCAAAGGAGGTACCTAGTAGATGCAGGTTTGGAGAAAAGCAGGTTTGGGGAAACTGGGAAAGCTGTTTATGCTAGCACACAGCTTGGTCCTTTCTCTAATGCCAACCTTCTCCCATTCTGCCTAATTCTCTGGCCTATTTCTGTTTGCATCAAAATTCATTGGTATGTGATTGTTCACTCCTTTAACATCATGCTTTTCCATCCCTCCACCAACTTCCAGGAAGATCTAGTGAGTTTATTTATTTTGTTTCGACCTGTTTGTATTCCACCTAACTCAATAGTTTTCAGATATTCAGCAGTTTTCATTATTCTGAAAGCAAATTATAACAAAGTCTTTAGAATGAAAGATGATTAATACGGCTATATTAGATGATGTGTTCTGATATCTAATAGAATTTATTTCCTTTTGCAGGTGACCATGGCCAATATTGGAATAAATGAAAATCATTCCCAGGAATCCTGTGAAACAATCCTATTCGCTCTCCGAATGGCGACGTGGAATCAAATTTTAGATCCATGGGTATACATTCTCCTGAGAAAAGCTGTTCTTAAAAAACTCTACAAGATTGCCAGGAGATTTTGTGGTGTGCATTTTATTAACTTGCATACATGGGAACTTAGCTCCATTAAAAATTCTTTGAAAGTTGCTGCAGTTTCTGATTCACCAAGCAGTTCCAAGAAAACGAATCAGCAGCTACTCAGTTCAGCAGTGCAATAAAATGAAGCACGTAGAACGATGAAATGAATGGGCAATGGTAGGTTAAGCTGCTCAAAAATTGGTACAGTGTGAATGGGCTGGGGTTTTTTCACCTCTTCAAAACAGGAAAGCTGGCCCATTTCTGGAAATGTAACAATATGGAGCTGCTGGTTACCTTCCAAAGACTGCTATTTATGTGACCGGCCCATCAAACCTGGGGCTGAAGACTTGTGACTCTATAACATAACAGAACGTTAAGCATATGAGATGATGCTGGCAGCTTTGGAAATACTTTTGAATGAAAGAATATTGTTCAATGTTCTTAGGAAAAAGAAAAGAAGCAAACAAACACCTTATTGTTGAAAGTGGCAATGAATTTGTTTGTTAAGCGTAACTTTGAAGATGCACCTTGTCTTGCAAGTATAACTGTTCCACATTTTCTTGAAAATGTAGCACTGAAATCTGAAACGCATGCGTTGTAGAAGGTCAATTTCTTCAGGAAGGGACTCAAGACCTTGCAAGCTGAACTTCTCACAACTTAAAAAAAGAAGTCCACAGATAAAAGGAGCTAGAAACAAACCTACAAGAGTCGATACACTTATTTAACTGTTACAATCCAGGAAATCTACCCTGCTACGTTAAAGGCTAATAATTCACCAGATATTACAGCACATTTACCTTTCAATTATAACCATGTGATTATGAAAACCATCTTGTTAAGTATGGTGAAACTTCAAAAATGTATTTACATATTAAAAAAACACCACTTGTGACATATGTGCCAAATGTTTAATTTTGATCATTCAAACTGAGGTCAGAATCAAGTATGTAGCATATTCAGGTGTGGGTTGATGTTTCTTAAAAAAACAAAAAGTGGTTGATACAAATATGAGAATTGCAACACACTTGGGTTGAGCTAAAATAGTAATAATTGTAGCACAGAATTATGTAGATTGAATTTAAAAGAAAATAGTGGTGCAGAGCATACTGAGCTTGGCAAATCCTTTGATTAGCCAATGTTTCAGCAAGAGGTTGGAAGAGAAACTAGATAGGATGAAGGGAGTGTGGTTTCCATTCCATAAGCAAAATATTTTACAGAGACTTGGGAAAGGATTTATTAAGAATGTAATAACCTGTCTGCTTAATAATCAGCCTTAAATTTCTGAGATCTCGTATCATATTGTTTAAGATACCAGGCCCATGCAGTACTGCATAAAGATTTCAAGCCCCATAACATTCCTAGGATCTCAGGCAACTAAGTGCCTAGGATTTTTCCTGCCTTGTATATGCTTTCACAGGTTTGTTTGTTTTTTAATGGAAAAAGAGTAGTGATGGGTAAAGCAGAGATGTTAAATCTGCTCCCACCATTTGTCTGCAAGCAAAAGTAATTTGTGAGTAGAATACTCAGAAACATTTGTGGGTATTCCTACAGAAGTCACAAGCCAGGCCTGTCATAGCTTCTCTCTCTCTCTCTCTTTTTGTAAAAGAAAAAGAAAATATGCCTGAAATAGTACCACTTGATGCTACTGCTGCTATTGCTATTACTCCTCCTGCTCTTGAACCTTGTACAGTGCTGTACAGAAATAGCATCCCGCAAAAGGCTTATAGACTACACTAGACAAACGAAACAGAGTTTTGCAGAGCTTAGGGCCAAACAATTTAAGACTTGTAATATCAAATGGAGCCCACCGACCATTTATTATGTCCTTGTCAGGTGACTTCCTGTTTTTGTATCCAAACAGGCAGCATAATTGATGTGACCAGGAGCTTTAATCACCTTTTATCTCTGAATGCTGGTGGGTTGTGGGTTGTATTTGCCCTGGTTAGACACCTGCCTTGGTGGCTCCTACAAGTTGTGCAGGCGTATTAAAGATGGATTGACAGGGTTAATAGCAAGGTGGAGAAAATAGCATTTTGTAAAAAAAAACCCCATTGAATTGTCATATGAAGGGGTCATTAGCACTTCTATCACAGGCCCTGGGACACACTAGGCTTTATTTTTTGATAGATTACAATAGGGCCTTAATACCAAATCAATGCTATCACTCTCTGTGGTGCCACTAAAATAACTCGGTGAGTCAAATGTAAAATTGCACATTTTATTGTACAGGTCACAATGTCGGCATTTAATAACTTCCTTCAGTTTTTCATCCTTCTGGGCAAGAAGTTTGCTTCAATGACAGCAGACTGATGTTCAACCATACAATTGTAGAAATGCTTGACTAACAAAAAAAAAAGAGCATTATTTTGTCATGTGAATAAATGTTATGTAGATATTTTTCTTTGTGGCTAATGGTTTTTAAAAAATGTATGTATATTTGTTTTCTTCTATGTATTGATACAGAATGAATGTAAGATGCAGTGCCTCATTTAAACTTATTGCCATGTGACTAGAGCAATGATTCTTTTGGAGTGGTTCTCAAGTGCTGAGAAAAGTCTGTGCTGTGAAAGTCATAAGTATTAGAAACAGTCTGGGTAGCTTGTATGGTTTACAGATTTAAAGTTGTTCACTATGTGCTTGTAAATAAAGTTTGCTTCTTTTGAAGCTTTGTCCTTGGACAAAAAAAGAGAGAGTAGTATTTAATTTATGTACCGTTTCACATTTCAAGAGAACTCTCTAAGCATTCTACAAAATCACTATAAGAAATACAATACAGCTTTCACATTCAAAACCATACTACTACCAGCCACCACCATCATTTTACATTTTCAGTAATGTAACTAAATGCCTTTAAACACACCATTCTCCTGTGTGTTCCTATGTATCTAGGTAGAATGCTATCTCATCTGTCACTGAAATTTGTTTCTGTATCTTCCTAGTCTATGTATACAATCCTGTATTCTGAAGAAATTTGTCTTCCTGGGCATTGATAGGAAATACCGTGTTTGGAATATATCACCTCAGACCACTTGTGGAATCTTACAATGCTCCTTTATGCAAATAATTATCATATAGGAAACTTCACATACTAGAGCCTAGCATTTTCCCTTGATTTACTAGTTTCCTGTGCACAGGAATTTATTTCATATGGAGGACAATTTGATGCTCTGAAGCACCACTTGCTTTAGTGGGAATTTGGCATAGTTATGCACAGTAACCTCTCTTGCTTTAAGTTTCTTCTTCTTTGGCAATCACTAGTAGCCGAGTAAGATTGTCTTCCATGAACATGGTCTTAACGGTGAGTCTGTAAGTGACTGTGGAGGCCAATACTGAATCCACACATCCTTCCACACTGGGGACATAGGTTTCTGGGTGGGAGTAGATCACAGAGAGGGTTTGCCACACATGCCTTCCTCTTAGCTCGTTTCTCCTTTTCGCCCTGAGTTCTGCTTCTTCAAAGTCCATTGATGCCTTTTGTAAAGGCTATTCTCCAGCTGGTGTACTCTCAGGCCAATGTTTATCAGTTATCAGTGCTTATGTTACATTTTTAAAGATTTGCCTTGAGAGCATCTTTAAACCTCTTTTGTTGTCCACTGGTATTTCCATTCTTGAGTTGGGAATAGAATAGTTGCTTTGGAAGACGATAATCAGGCATCTGAGCAACATTACCAGTCCAATGGAGTTGATGTTGAAGATTCATTGCTTCGACACTGGTCATCTTTGCTTCTTCCAGTACACTGACATTAGTTCACCTGCCTTCCCAAGTGATGTGCTTTCAGTTTATGGGTCAAATGAAATGACATGCAGGTTTTCTGAAGCTACAGCTTTGCAGCACAATCAAAGCTCAAGATCTATGAAAAAGTTTGGATTCAGTGGGTCTTGGGCTCTCCTCACTGTACACCCACCTCCCTAAATTTAAATCAGTGTGAGACTGGTTTAGATTCTCCCATTGACTCCACTGCCACTATTTCATGTGCATTTTGTGCAAGCAGTATGTATGTGTTTGTCATCTTTCTGTCAGAGAGGCAACTCTGTTAGCCTATTGCAGCAAAACCAACAAGCACTTTAAAGATGCACGAATGCATTATGACTTAACCTGTCATTGATTAGGGCCTATTTCAATAGCTGCAGAATGACTAGAAGCATCTCTCTGGCAGAGTTCTTTCCTATCACCAGCCAACTGATGCTTTTAACTGGAAATACTAGTGCTTAAACCTGGGACTGTCTGCATGGATATGTACTGTGACAACACAATGCTAAACTACAGGTGCACATCAAGATAAAGAAAAAGGTCACTAGTTGAAAGCGAAACAGCTTGCTTCATTTTAGCACAGTGAATGATAGCTCTTCGCATAACAAACTCTAGTCGAGACTCATGTTTGCCATATGAAACTGATGCGTAATCATTTCATGGTGACTTGTCTACAGCCAAAAACAACCAGTGAATCTGCTATAAATCTCATCAAAAGAAAGAAAGTCAGAAAACACATGTGTTAAAAAATATTCTCTGTAGTAGTTCCATGAAAGATTGAGTAAATATAATCAAGTGTTTTATATACACTTCCGTATATCACGCAGGGCCAAATTAGCTGAGATGCCATCGACAGAATTAGGTATCGTGCAAGAGGCTTTTTGAAAGTAACAGCAAGTGTATGGGGGCCTGCTCCAGATTGGGACCCTGGCAGGTCTGAGATCTGTATCTGGACCCCTACACTTGGTTTGCGATTGGAAGAAAATTTCCCATTCATTCCTATGGACATTTTTCTGATGCAAATAGGAAGCCCAGTATGGATCAGTACCACTGCAGAGGGAAACTCTACCTCCCTGCAAGGAGCCCAATCTGCATATTCAGTGTGTATTCAGAGAGAACCATATCCCACTTCTCGTTGTGTTTCTTGTGACTGAATCACCCACTCCTTAGATCTCCCTACCGGAGGTGTACACCTTGGTAGACAACACCATGTTGTCCCTCAAGAGGTTTTTTCTCATGAAGTATTCTTTTCCTTAGAGGGATGCTGTCTTTTCCTGAGATCCTCATTCTCCATGGCAGAAGACCCATCACCCTGGGAGTAGGATGCTGCTATGACAGTTTGAAGGCCTTGTAAGAAACCTCTCAGCTTCTCCAAGTCCTTGGTGTTAAGATTACCTGAGAGTCAGGAACCCATTTAACTGAATACTCATCTATGATTTTGTCTGGCTGGCAGATAGACATACATAGGACAGTAGAATACACTGGCTAAGCCTCACATCTTTGCTGGCTTCCTACCTTCATAACAGTTTTATTATTCAGAAATCTTTACTTGCAAAGCTAAGTTATGAAGACCAAGGGTAGGAAGTTTCACAGTTGCTGAACTTATTTCTTGCTCTGTTGCTGAACTCACACAGGTGCTTAATGTGCCTGCCTGCCTAACTGTTTACCTCAACATTTTGTTATTGCAACCAAGATGCTTCAACAGCTGAGGTTCCCCTCATGGACGTCAAACTTGACAATGATAATACAGCATGTCTGGCTTGACTGCATATGAGAGAAGTTCTTGAAACCAATATCACAAAACATCTGGGTGGGGGGAGGGGAGGGCAGCTGGATTTGATGAAAACTGGCTAATAGCAAAAGCTCTTCTCTCTGACAAATCTCATCTACATATTTTCCGTGTGGAGTGAAACCAGATGGGGAAATGGTAGAGAGCCAACGATTGTATTCTTTATGGATTTAAAAAGATATTTGACTGATTCCAGTGTTGGAGACAAATCACACTGATGAGGCTCAGATTGTCCTTGGTGACATAATAAATCTGTAAGGTAATTATAATACTATTATCTGCATTAGAACAAGATCAGGTTAATGAATAAAGAAAAAAGATAATAGTAACAAGAACAGCTGATTTTAAGTACTTAGCCATCCTTGAATTATTTTACTGGAACACCTAATCATCATTTCTGCTCTTCTTTCCCCCTCTGTACATCTACCTTTGTCACGTTTCCAAACAAGGAAGACTCAAGAAAGATTGTGCTTGGTACAATCCTTCATTCAGTGTACTGGACCTTGAGTAGAAGTTTTCAAATTTCCCAGTAGTCCCATTCTCATAACTGATCTAATAGCATTCCAGGGACGATATCATTAATACAACTACACAAAGTTAACTTTTACAGTAAGCCCCAGTGACCATTCACAACTGGCTTTTAAAAAACACAACCACATGACCTGAATATCAGAAGGTGGTGAAATCACCAGGGCAGTTTCTGGGAACAATGAGCCTCAGTTTTAAAAAAGGAAGCGGAATTGCTTAATTTATTAACGGGGGAATCATAGAATGTGTTTTACCCAATGTCTCCATTGTGGCAGATTTCATTTATTTCTTTTAGGAATGGTTTCAAGTGGTGATGGTCTCTCCGTGGGTTGGAAAGGTGACAGAAGTTCAAGAAAATGTGCACTTGGTGGATTGCTCTAGTTTTTGCACTGTACACAGCTCAGCTACCATGTTTGGGGTCAAGACAAAGCTCCCAGCCTTTATTTATCTTGGTGTACAGCAAGGGTAGGAAATCAAAGCAGATTAATTACCTCCTCCATGAATATAATGTTGCGAATTATAGGGAATGTTGCTATACTCCCAATAGGAATCAGATGAAGGCTTTTGCTGTAATCTCTCAAAGGAAATTTACTCAGGTTACCCAATTATTTCTCATTTGTGTGTTGGAATATGCTTGATAATTTTGCAGATCTTGCTTCTAAATGTCCCTGTGAACCACAACTATCCAGGAATCCATCTTCCATTTGAACTGAACGCGTAAGCTGCAGTCACTTCACAGTCAACCTGAGGTGTGCAATGGTTTGACACAACCATTGCTCATGAACAGATGACAGCATCATGAATCAGAGTTGGGGATGCTGCATGTGCATGGAAACCAAACAGATAATGGGTGAAGACATCCCTCCTTTGGTGTGTACAGTAACATGACCTGAAACCCAGTGGGGACGAATAATAATAATAATAATAATAATAATAATTTATTATTTATACCCCGCCCATCTGGCTGAGTTTCCCCAGCCACTCTGGGCGGCTCCCAATCAGTGTTAAAACAGTACAGCGTTACATATTAAAAACTTCCCTGAACAGGGCTGCCTTAAGATGTCTTCTGAATATCAGGTAATTATTTATCTCTTTGACATCTAATGGGAGGGCGTTCCACAGGGCGGGCGCCACTACCGAGAAGGCCCTCTGTCTGGTTCCCTGTAGCCTCACTTCTCGCAATGAGGGAACCGCCAGAAGGCCCTCGGCGCTGGATCTCAGTGTCCGGGCTGAATGATGGGGGTGGAGACGCTCCTTCAGGTATACAGGACCGAGGCCGTTTAGGGCT